ATATATCATTTTCTAATAAGATTTAATTTTATTAAGAAAGACATAATAAAAGTTAATTTGTGGTAGAGTTTTAGAAAAAAAAATTTATTTTAGAAATCAATTAATAAATATTTTTTATATTAATGATTATTATCTAATTATATTTTCTTTTATTAAAAAATTCATAATAATAAAAAAATAAATATGTTAATTTAAATTTTATTATGTATATTTTAAGAGTTTTATAGAGTTTTTTTATTTTTTATTTTTTTTATAAAAACTCTTTCATATCAATTAATAAATATTTTTTTTATATAAATAAATAAATACTGAAACTCTTGGCACATTTAATAATAATATGGATAAAAATTCTTTTTATAAAAATTTTATGTTAATAATTCTTCTCTAATTAGATTCTCTTTTATTAAAAAATTTATAATAAATAAATAAATAGGTAATTTGTGTTAGAACTTAATAGAAACTCTTTTAAAAACTCGTTTTATATCAATTAATAAATATTTTTTATATTAATAATTATTGTCTAATTAGATTTCCTTTTATTAAAAAACTCATAATAAATAGATAAATAGGTAATTTGTGTAAGAGTTTCATAGAAACTGTTTTTAAACTTCTTTTTATATCAATGAACAAATAATTAATTTTTATATTAATTATAGTTGTCTAATTAAATTTCCTTTTATTAAAAAACTCATAATAAATTGGTCATTTGCTTTAGAGTTTTATAGAAACTCTTTAAATATATTTTTGTCTAGTGTGATTGAGTTTTATTGAAAATAAAATAGGTCATTTGTGACAAAGTTTTATAGAAATTATTTTATTTTCTTTAAATATATCGTTTTCTAGTTATATTTAATTTTATTAAGAAAGTTATAATAAAAGTTAATTTGTGGTAAAGTTTTAGAAAAACTATTTTATTTTATATATCAATTAGTAAATACTTTTTATATTAATAATTCTTGTCTAATTAGATTTTCTTTTACTTAAAAATTCATAATAATAAATAGAAAAATATGTTAATTTAAATTTTATTATGTAGATTTTAGAGTTTTATAAAGGTTTTTTTATTTTTATTATATATATATATATATATATATATATATATATATATATATATATATATATAAACTCTTTTCTTATCAATTAACAAATATTTTTTTATATAAATAAATAAATATTGAAACTCTTCGCACATTTACTGATAGTATGGATAAAAACTATTTTTTATAAAAATTTTATATTAATAATTATTCTCTATTTAGATTTTCTTTTATTAGAAAAATTATATTAAAAACATAAATGGGTAATTTATGTTAGAGTTTAATAGAAACTATTTTAAAAACTCTTTTTATATCAATTAATAAATATTTTTTCCATTAAAAATTTATTTTCTAATTAGATTTTATTTTATAGTTTTATAGAATGTGTTTTAAACCTTTTTTTATATCAATTAATAAATATTTTTTTATATTAATAATACTTGTCTAATTAAAATTTCTTTCATTAAAAATCTCATAATAAATAAATAAATAGGTAATTTGTGTTAGAGTTTTATAGAAACTCTTTAAATATATCTTTGTCGAGTGTAATAGAGTTTTATTGAAAATAAAATAGGTAATTTCTAATTGAGTTTTATAGAAATTATTTTATTTTCTTTTAATATGTTTTTGTCTAATTAGATTTAATTTTATTAAGAAACTCATAATAAAAACTAATTTGTGGTAGAGTTTTAGAAAAATTATTTTATGTTATATATCAATTAATAATTATTGTTTATATTAATAGTTCTTGTTTAATTAGATTTTCTTTTATTAAAAAATTGATAATAATAAATAGGTAAATAGTTTAATTTAAATTTTATTATGTAGATTTTAGAGTTTTATAGAATTTTTTATTTTTTTTATTTTATAAAAACTCTTTTCATATTCATTAATAAATACTTTTTTATATTAATAATACTTGTCTAATTAAAATTTCTTTTATTAAAAAACTCATAATAAATAAATAAATAGGTATTTTGTGTTAGAGTTTTTTGGAAACTCTTTAAATATATCTTTGTCTAGTGTAATAGAGTTTTATTGAAAATAAAATAGGTAATTTGAAATTGAGTTTTATAGAAATTATTTTATTTTCTTTTAATATATTCTTATCTAATTAGATTTAATTTTATTAAGAAACTCATAATAAAAACTAATTTGCTGTAGAGTTTTAGAAAAATTATTTTATTTTATATATCAATTAATAAATATTGTTTATATTAATAATTGTTGTCTAATTAGATTTTCTTTTATTAAAAAATTGATAATAATAAATAGGTAAATAGGTTAATTTAAATTTTATTATGTAGATTTTAGAGTTTTATAAAGTTTTTTTATTATTTTTATTTTATAAAAACTCTTTTCATATTCATTAATAAATATTTTTTTATACAAATAAATAAATACTGAAACTTTTTGCACATTTAATAATAGTATAGATAAAAACTCTTTTTATATCAATTAATAAATATTTTTGTATATAAATAAATAAATACTAAAACTTTATATAAATAAAATTAATAAATATTGTTTATATTAATAATTCTTGTGTAATTAAATTTTCTTTTATTAAAAAATTGTTAATAATAAATAGGTATATAGTTTATTTTAAATTTTATTAGGTAGATTTTAGAGTTATATATATATATATATATATAAAATCTTTTCATATCAATTAATAAATATTTTTTTATATAAATAAATAAATACTGAAACTCTTTACACCTTTAATAATAGTATAGACAAAAATTCTTTTTATATCAATTAATAAATATTTTTTTATATAAATAAATAAATACTAAAATTTTATATAAAAAAATACTAAAACTCTTTGGCAGAGCTTCTGTATTTAATCTGGAATTCTGGATTTGTAGAATTCTCAATTTCTGTACTCATTCCTCAATGCCTCTATTTATAGGCTTCTTGGATTAATAGGATGATGACATGTGTTTTCTCTTGATAATGATATAATTATAATTGGGCCAAGCCGGTTATATTGTAATAATTATGTATAAAAAATAACTATTTTTTTATATCAATTAATTAATATTTTTTTTATGTAAATACTGAAACTCTTTGCACATTTAATAATAGTATAAATATATATATATAAAGAAGTTTGAAGGTATAATACTTAGTTTTCAAATTATCGACAATAAATTAGTTTTGAAATTCTTGATGAAAGGACTTGCTCAAATAAAGAATGTAGATAATTTTGAGTTGTGAATCAAACAACTTGTTATGTAATATGGTCAATTTTGTATGCTTATAAATTCATAAATAAACATTGTAAATTATTAAGAATTTTTTTTTCATGTAATTTGTATTTTTGTTTAACTCTAATATTTTATTCCATATTTGTTTTATAATTCAAGTTTCATTGAGGTTTTTTTTATTTTTTTTTTTAATTTTGTACTTATTCCTAGTTGGTGGTTTATTTATTTATTTTGGTGGTGCTATTGTCTTTCTTCTTTTGTTGAGTAGAAGTATAGGTGTTGTTTCAATGTGTATTTTGTTTATTTTGGACTTTGGGAATGTTGTTTTATTTATTTTATTTTTTTACATTCTTCCATTATTCTCATCAACATGATTATCTTGGTTTTAAAAAAAAAAAAAACTCAAGTTTCTCTCTCCTTTCAATATATATATATATATATATATATATATATATATATATATATATGTTCCTAACTATAAAACTAACAAGCACTCTCATTTTTTTTTTCTTTTTCTTTTTTGGTGTTGGTACTATTGTTTTACTTCTGCTAATATTGTTTAATGGCTTTTATTTTTGCAAAGGGAGATTTGGCAACCATAATCCAAACCTTAATAAAGAAGGGCAGTTATGGTACTAAGAATGATAGGAATTAAAGTGGAACTCTTTTGTAATTTCATTTAGAGAGAGAAAAGAAATGAAACACCAAGAATAATTGTGGGGCGTCAATATCAATTCTCTTAAAATAATGAGACTAAAATATAAGACATCTTACAAAGTATGAATCCACTTGTTATGTATTGAAAAACAAAACATGGAAAAGTTAAATTAAATAGACATATCATATTTATTTGATTCTTACTCATCTTTGCGTATATCAGAATGATAGATAATTCTATCAGAATGAAAGTAGTATAGTTATTTTGTAATTAATTTTACAAATGTAAAAAACATTATTCTCGACTTTGTCACAAGTTGGCGTAAGCGATATTCTATATTGCTAAGATCATGAAAGTCAAATATAATTTTTGAAAGAAATTGATTTATCATGAAAGTTAAATTACAGTAGTATCTTTTGAGATAAAACATAATTACATAAAGCTCTCCTATTAATTCAAAATTTACTTTGTCTTGTCTTATCACACAATTCCATTTACTCATTATTTTTCCCCCAAATGATTATTATAATATTCTTAATTAAAAAAATATATATAAAGTGAAATCAAGGACCGAGTCTATACCCACACTAATAATTCAATTAAAAAATTTAACCTATTAAAGGAAAACTAACACTTAATTCATTTTTTTAGTTATATTTCCCATCCAATCAAATGGATAAAATTTTGTTCATAGGTCTCAAAAGTGTTAGACAAGGTCAAATCTCATGCCTCGAAAGAGTTAATTTACTCTTTTCCTTTATCCAAATGGTGCAATAAACACTCTCGATCTCTGTAGATCTCTTTCACTGCTGTACCATCGACTTTGTCGAAGCCCATGTGGCCATTTTTACACACACAGTCACACAACGTTTTTATTCTTTGGGAATTAAAATCAAATGATGTGTATGTCTACAGAATACTAGTCAATGTATACAAAGCACTGAGAGGCTAAGACTTTGTGAATCATACATTACATTACCCATTTTCTTATCCTCACATCTGCCACTGGCATTGGTCTTCCAATCTCCTCCACCCAATTCATAATCCACTCTCTACCCAAACAAAAAATAAATAAAAAAAAAAAAATCCACCCTTTTCTTTTCCTCTTTCCTTCTTCACCACCACCTTATTTCTCTCACATATATCACCACATCTTCTCTCTCTCTACTTCTGCTTATTCATCCATCACAACCATGGCTGCTGCAGTAAGTGCTGCAATTTCCCTCCCATCCTCCAAGTCCACTTCCCTTCCATCCAGAACCTCTCTCATCTCACCAGAAAGAATCACCTTTAACAAGGTTCAAGTCCAATTTACATACACACACACACATGTATATTAATACAACATACATACATACATATATATATATATGTATGATCAATTTTATTAATTGGAGTTTGTGTGACATGGGTTTGGGTTATTCAGGTCCCTTTGTACTACAGAAATGCCTCTGCAGGTGGAAAAGTGGTTGCTCCCATCAGAGCCCAGGTCACCACAGAGGCTCCTGCCAAGGTTGAAAAGATTTCCAAAAAAATGGAGGAAGGTGTGGTTGTAAACAAGTTCAGGCCTAAGGAACCATACATTGGCAGATGCCTTCTCAACACTAAGATCACTGGTGATGATGCTCCAGGAGAAACATGGCACATGGTCTTCACCACTGAGGGTATTTCCTTTAATTTTTTTTTTTTTCCCTTCATAATTTATCAAATTTTGTTGAATTCCCAATATAGATATCATTCTTATATATACAAGGAACTTTAATCATTTTTTTTTTTTCTTCTTTTTTTTTACTAATTTTATCCTGACAAATACCACACTTACCACTTGCCCCTAGGTGGCGACTTGAATTGACCTTTCAGGAAGTACTTTTAGGGTACACATCATGATGTTTCATGATTGATTAGTTTATATAAAAGATTGATCTTTTGATTGATTAGGGGACTTGTTCCTACCAAACTTGAATAGAAGAAGTACCACTGGGTTACAGACTTCGTGATTTTTTTTATTGATTAGGGTATATAACAGATCTTTTGAGCTGAGTGGTTGGTTATATGGATTTGGTTAGGGGAGGTACCCTACAGAGAAGGGCAATCCATTGGGGTGATTCCAGATGGTCTTGACGCCAGAGGGAAGCCTCACAAATTGAGGTTATATTCAATTGCGAGCAGCGCCCTTGGTGATTTTGGGGATTCCAAAACTGTAAGTGATTTACATTTGCTATGGCCTAAAATTACAAAACAATTGAAGTAGAGATTGGTCTTAACACTTGTTCAATATTAAATGATTCATATAACAATTGGACATTTTACTATAACTTTTGCAGATTCAATAGATCACCTAAAAAATAAAGCTACTCTTTTGGTTTTTTTTGGTCTTGTTTTCTTTCAAATAAGTGAATGCTTTGGTCTCATTGCTTCATGTAGGTTTCTTTGTGTGTGAAAAGGCTTGTCTATACCAATGACAAAGGAGAACTAGTTAAAGGAGTTTGTTCAAATTTCTTGTGTAAGTTTGCTTGACTCTTTGCTCTCTGGCTCTGTGCAATTTTATCTTTCCACAGTTTTGATCTTTCCACACTTTATTTTTTATTAATTATAACTTACTGTTTAAAAAAATAGTTTTGAAGAGAGAAACTAAGCATGAATGACACAAAAATATAACGTGGTTCTTATACATATTTTTCATTATATTCTCTGTTAGTTTTGTTTACAATGACCTCCTCTTTATATAGATGAAAGAATATAAACATGTGATAAATATAAAAAACATATTGATGGAGGATTCTTAAAATAATAAAATCAATCCCATGAATCACTCCTATCAATATTATAGAGGGATTAAATAGTTCCTATAATGATATTCTCTAAAACTTAGCCTGAGAGACATAAATTTCTGATGGAGTGGTAGAAAATTTTATAGATTCTCATTTAACTTGAAATTTTGTATGTTTCAGGTGACTTAAAGCCCGGGTCAGAAGCAAAGATTACAGGACCTGTTGGAAAAGAGATGCTAATGCCAAAGGATCCCAATGCCACCATTATAATGGTAACTTTATTCAATACCATCTTTCTGTTCTGTGTCTAAAATTTCTGGCCCTTTATACTGGATTCTCTTATATGTTTGTCACTGTTTTTCATTTTTTACGAGTTCCATGCTTTGATATACATCTGTATAATTAAAATTCTTTGTTGCAGCTTGCAACCGGGACAGGTATTGCTCCTTTCCGCTCATTCTTGTGGAAAATGTTCTTTGAGAAGCATGAAGACTACAAGGTATGTGTTGAACATGAATGGATGATTAAAAATGCCTCATTTCACTTGAAGACATGCCACAAATTTAACATAGTGATTGTAGTAGGATATGCATTGAATGATGATCTTTTTGCATCAGTAATTGAGGTTTAATTTTCATTGAATGCTCATTGTCACTATAAGTTTCACAAGCGATTCCACTAGAAGGACAAGATGTGATCAACTACTTTGGTTGAATAATGTTTTCATATAATGAGTGACTGTTTGATCTTTTTAGTTCAACGGTTTGGCGTGGCTCTTCTTGGGTGTTCCTACAAGTAGCTCACTGCTCTATAAGGAGGTAAGATAAAGAGTTTTGAATCAAGTTCAATTGATGAGAGAAACCTTTGAGGCTTAACATTGACATTGTGTTGGTTGGGATTCGGGACAGGAATTCGAGAAAATGCAAGAGAAGAACCCTGAGAACTTCAAAGTTGATTTTGCTGTGAGCAGAGAGCAAACTAATGACAAAGGCGAAAAGATGTATATCCAAACCAGAATGGCTCAGTATGCAGAAGAGCTATGGCAAATGCTCAAAAAGGATAACACCTTTGTCTATATGTGTGGGCTGAAGGGCATGGAAAAGGGGATTGACGATATAATGGGGTCATTAGCAGCCAGAGATGGTAAGAACATAATGCCATCAACTTGGGGCCGGTTACATGAATCTCGTGTTTCTATTCTGCTCTATTTAAAGTCAAATGACATGCTTTCATCGTGTATTCATGGGACTCGTGTTCATATTGGTCATGACTGTCAAGCTATCTAGCATAACCCTCCCACTTTACTAAACTCTATTTTTTGCTGCTCTATTTTTGCAGGCATTGATTGGATCGAGTACAAAAGGCAGTTGAAGAAGGCAGAGCAGTGGAATGTGGAAGTCTACTAGAGCTTTTTTTCTTGTACAAATATGTCCTATTCTTGAGATAGCACCTTTATGTGATTTCCTCTGCACTGTGTAGATAGAGTAACCTCCTTTATAATTAATTTTCTTCCTTTTGTTTTTTTCACTCATAAAGCAATTGTAGTGTTATGCCTCTTTCAAAGTTTTTTTTTTTGAGGCTTGGATCATAAAATATAGTGGAAGAAAACTTCAGCCTCTCTGTATGGATGGATTATCAGTGACATTTATTGTCTATTATCTTATTACCTTCACATCAACTAAAGATAGCTCTTTAATTGTAGAGATAGTATTATTTTTCGATATTTTTTTCTTTCTAGCGAAGAACTCTAGAAAGTTTAGAACTTTTTACTTTTCATTTTTGAAATGAGAGGAAATATCACTGTGTTAGGTCCATTGAAGATAAGTTTCAACATTGATTTAATCTGTCAACTTCGTCAATAAAAGGGTAAAAAGGTAAATATAGTGGGAGCAACATCAGCCTCTATTTATTTCCACATTTTATTGTCAATTATCTTATTACCTGCACATCAACTAAAGAGTAGGCATTCATAGTTCTTGTGGCTCTTTAATTTTAGAGATACCATTATATTTTGATTGTTTTCTTGTGCAATTTGACGAATGTAAATTTTTGAAATATGTCGTCAGTTTTTTTTTATACTTCATGCAAAAATAATAAAAATTTGTAAATACTTAATAAATATAGTATAATTAGGGTCGAATTATATTCTGAATTCAAAGTCAAAATTAAAATCTAAGGGATGAAAAAGAATATTTTAAAATATTTTTTTAAAATTTTTTAATAGTGATATTAAATAAAACAAATAAAAATAAGATTAAATATTTTTTGATCAAATAATGGGAAAAGTCTCTGGGGATGAGAATCCATAACCACGGATCTATATAAACAAATTTATTTTGTTCTTGTCAATTTTTCTCTAATAAGCAATTCACTTCATCCATCCAATTACAACTTTAAAAGATGAAAAAAAATATAGAGATAAACAACACTTACTTATTATATAGAATAGAACATTTTTTTATTTTTATTTTTATTTAATCTGGTATATCTTTAGTAAATAGAAGTATGCATTATACGAATTATCATCAATTGGCAAACACGAAAAATCTTCCCTCTAAATTTTTTTTATTAATCTAAGAATACACAATAGAAGAATAAAAGACAGACTCTAAAGAGAAAAATTAAAACAAAACATGGAAGAAATTCAATTACATGTCAGCCACAGTGGCTTCATCTTTCTCTCGAGATAGGTGTTTAAGATAACATATTAATAATAAAATAAAACATAGAAATAAAAGATGTTTTTCATTGAAGAAAAAAAAGAATTACAAGGAAAAATAATGTAATACAATATAAAATCTCTAACTATCTCTATTTGTAATCCCTACCTCCTTTACATATGTCCCTATTTATAGAGTTTAGAATAGAGGAATTAGGAGGGAAAAAGAAAAGAATTTAAAAATAAAAATACACGAGGGAGATGAAAAATATATAAAATCTTCCTAAAATTTAGGTACTTTTCAATTTGAAATGATATTTGCTTATTGAATAATGATAGGGAGACCGATGAATTAACTCTGAATAAGTATCGAATCTGACCTGTTTTTGTCCACCTCATCTATTTAAACAGTTTCCAAAAATAATTATTTAACACGTGATAAGAATGACCAACCACGTCAAATTCGATACTAATTCGGTTCTTCTATCGTTACTATTGCTTATTTGATGGAGCCAAATTTGAATTGGACTAGTCATGTATAAAAATAAAGCACTAAATCATTTCTCTTACAAGGCTTCTAATGCTCTTTTTTAGCAATAAATAAACTTTTATCCTTTTCAAAACCATACATTTTCTCTTTTTTACCATTTTTGCTTATTTTCTTCTTATTTCAAAATTAATCCCTATAAAACAGAAAAAATAAAGATAAGGACATTTAACTAATAAAAAAAAATTAATTAATTAATTAATTTTTTAGTATAAAATAACAAATTTTGTACAATTATCATTGGTCAACTTCATCAATGAAAGGGTAAAAAGGTAAATATAGTGGGAGCCAACATCCACCTCTAATTTTTTTTTTTTTGACTGAGATTTGAACTCCTGACCTTCCTTTACAAAGTAAGAACCTCGTACCGCTAGGTCACAAGTCTATTGATCTCTACTTTTTATTTTTTTTACTCTGACAATAAGAAACAACCACACGACATTTACAATGAACAACCCAACCAAATATCACTACACGCAAAAGCATAAGACACACCAAGATCAACACACATAGAAAGCCTGTAAAACCATGACTCAGATTACAGGACATAGGAACTGCTCACAATAGTGACAATAAAGTACAAAGTTCATAGTTATCAGGTAAACCATTACCTGTAAACCACTAAGGCTCAGTTTGGTAGAGTGGAAATGAGAGGAAAGGGGAGGGAATGTGATGGAGAGTGATTAAAAAGTTGTGTTTGGGTAAAATGGGTGGAAGGAAAGAAAATGATAGGGAAGGCTTTGGAGGGTTAAGTATAGTTTTGTACAGTAATTTGCTTATCCTTCAAAAAATGAGAGGAAATGAAAAGAAAAGGAAGGCAATGGGGCTGAAGCAATATTTGTGATGCCAATTTTACCCTCAAGATTATATAGATATACAAGTTAGCAGCTGCAGAGAGAGTGAGAGACAACGGGTCAGCCGCTAAAGCTTGCGAACGGCGAACCCGAACTGGAACAGCGGCGATAGAAATTGAAAGATATGATTTTTGATTTTCTGAACAATCTGAAATGATATACCAATAGGGGTTTTGAACTTTTGATTATTGCAGACAGATATATAAACTGAAATATATGGGTTTTAAACTTTTGATTCTTGCATATAGATAGAAAAACTGAAAAATACGGGTTTTGAGCTTTTGATTCTCGTAGTGCACAGAGAGAGAGAGGGCAAGTTCAGACTGGAGAACGAGAATGGAGATGGAAGCGAGATTCTGGAGGCTGAAATGAGTTGCCCTAAAATTTTTTTTTCTTTTCTTGTGGGCTGAGGAGACAATATAAATATACACACAGCAAATTAAACCAAACACAGTACCAAATTAAAATTATTCTTTTCTTCCCTTTCTCTCGTGACTAATGTCATCCTTCCTCTTCAAACCCACACTACCAACCATCACCATAAGGCCATTGGTAGATACTCGAAGTAACGTACTCACTACGCGGATGGTACAGAGTGACTGTTAGATTTTTGAGTTTCAATCTGAAAGAACATAAGATGACATGGGTTTCGGGAAGGAACCAAAGTCGCCGGCAACCGAGAAGGAGGAAGAATAATTTCGCCGGCAAATCCCTAAACTCTGAAGTCTTCAAAATAGAGCAACAACTTCGACCCGGACTAGCAACCAAAACAAATAAACTTTGATTGCACTTGGAGACCTGAACAAGGACAAGGTTTAATCGTGTAATCGTGCTACAAGGACGGCGGCGATGAATCGCCATCAACGATAACTCCAACAGAGAAACATCGCCGAGTAGAGCGATGAACAACGGATCCAAACACCAAAATATTGTTTTTCTGAACCAGAGATCTTGCAACTGGGATAGGCGTAGTACTACCAATCGGTTGACCCTCCACGGAAATCCATGGAGAAAAAACCATTGATAGAGAGGAAGGCAAACCGAGAAAACTGAAAGCAAATAAGTTTAGAAATAAGATTAACATTAACAAAAATAACAAAGACAACGTAGTAATATCCGGATCAAAAGGAAAAAGTCGAAAAAATGGAAAAGCAAACTTTTCAATTTTTAAAACCCCAAATTGACTTTCAATCCATAGGTGCCTCTCCGGAGAGACAACCCACAGGGTCGTCGGAATGGAGAGGAGACGAGACGAAAGTCATCACAGTCTTCATAAACCACGCAGAGCACACCACCATGGAGAAGAATCCAAACTCTGATTGACAGAGGACCTCTACGGGAAGAGGAAATCTAATCTCTGGTGAACAGAGAACGACTTTGTTGGACAAAAGTTGAAGGAAATTGGAAGATCTGATGGCAATTTGGTATTTCTCTCTCTAGGTAGAGAGAGAGAGAGAGAGAGAGAGAGAGCGCGAGCGAGCACACCACCATGTGTAGTCAACATCAACATCAGCCGCTATCTATTTCCACATTTTATTGTCAATTATCTTGTTACCTTCACATCAACTAAAGAGTAAGCATTCATTGTTCTTGCATGATTTATTGTTCCAGACCATTTTGGAGCCATCCACACTACTCTCTAAACTACCAACACAGAAAAGTGGGGTTTGTTGGGTTCATTTTAAGAATTTTTTTTTTGAAAAATTTTGTTAGTTGATAGTTTTTATATAATTTGTTTTTAAATAGTGTTTTGTTTTCATATAATTAAAATACAAAAAGCAGTATAATTTTTTGTTTTGGTTAAGATTTTTTGGAACACTGTTTTTTCTGAATTAGGGAAAAAATGATATAACAATTTCTAATAGTTAAAACTGTTCAGGTTTTATAACTATTTAATTTTTATTTATTTATTTTTTATTATTATTACTATTATTTTGGTTAAATGAGAACAATAAATAAATAAACCAAATAAATCCTTATTCTTGGTATTGAGACCTTTTTAAAGACTGTTTTCTTCTCTCTTTTTGTTTAGTTGAGTGGAAATTATTTAGTAAGAGGGAAAGAAAATAAGAAGAAAGTGTTTTATTTTGGAAAGAAAATAAGAAGAAAGTGTTTTTATTTTTTAACCACTTACCCTCATTGTATAATTTTACAAACATTGATAAGAAGTAATAATACCCCTTCACATGATATACCATTAAGTTCCTTCTTTTCTCACCCCTCTTTGGTCCTCTTTTGGGAGGAATAGCAGCAATGCCACATCCCATCCATCCTCTTTCTTTTTTTTTTTTTTTCTTTTTTTTTGGTACCAAACAACAAACAATAACAATATGCTCTATCCACCTTCCTTCCCTCTTACTCCCAAACGCACCATTAAAACTATGAAAGGATCACAAATTATAGATTTAGAACACTTTCATCTCTCAAACAAATTCTGAATTATAGACAAATTTTACATTATTGCAAGACTATTGAAATCTTCCAAACTACTTCAAATGACTCTAAACACTATGAATAAAGTTGGACTATTTGGTTGAGTTAAAAACTTTTCATTCATTGTGAAAAAAAGAAAAAAAAAAAACTTTTCATTCAATATATCTTTTTAATATTGAAGTCACAATTCATAAAATAAGGGGGTATTATTTATTTATTTTACATGTTAGATTACATATCGAGTCAAATAAATCTATATATTACTATATGGATCTATTTTATGGCACTGACCAAACTTGTCATTCTACTTTTTGGCTTTTAAGATATTTAATTATTTTTAATAAAAAATAAAATTAAAAATAAACAAAAAATAAAATAAATATTACAAGCACAAATTTCTAGCACTTTCTATATGCTAACAAAAAGGCAATAAAAGAATATTTTTACCTTAAAAATAAGAGAGAGAATGGTTTCCCGGTTTCAGTATAATAGTACTTTTCCTTTTGCTTTTTTCTTTCCCCAATTGCAAGAGAGTTCGATTCCAAACCGTTTTAGGGTTCTCTTAGGTCTGCTTAAAGTCTCCACCGTTATATATATACCTTCACTGTAGAGAGCGCTCCATCTATGTATACACATATACATACAAAGAGAGAGGATTTTTAGGGTTCGTGCGTGAGGGAGAAGATCGATTTGATCGATCAATGGCGGAGGAAAACACCAAATCCAAAGGCACTGTGAGGTGGTTCAACGACCACAAGGGTTACGGATTCATCAATCCGGAGGATGGTAGCGACGATCTCTTCGTTCATCAATCGGCGATCAAATCCGACGGCTTCCGTACCCTCAAAGTAGGTCAGTCCGTCGAGTTCTTGATCGTTTTGGAGAACGGCCGCACCAAAGCCGTTGAAGTCACCGGTCCTAACGGAACTTCCGTTGAGCAGACCCGGAAAGAGGGTTACGGGGGAGGAAGAGGAGGCCGTGGGGGTGGTGGTGGTGGTGGTTACGGTGGAAGGGACGGCGGCAGGGACGGCGGTGGGTATGGGTATAATGGCGGATGGAGAGGCAGGGAAAGGGACGGTGGGGGCGGCAATGTGTATCGTGGTGGTGGCGCTGGTTCCGGTGCATGCTATAGCTGTGGAAGGACTGGGCACCTGGCCAGGGATTGCCGTAGTAACAATGGCGGCGGCGGCGGTAATGGGGGATGTTATAACTGCGGTGAGCATGGGCACTTAGCAAGGGACTGCCCTGGCGGCGGTGGTGGCAGAGGCAGTGGTGGTGGTGGTGGTGGTGGTGGTGGTTGTTATACCTGTGGGGAGATTGGGCACTTGGCAAGGGATTGTTCCCAGGAAGGTAAAGCTGGCGGCGGCAGGGGTGGTGGTTTTGGGAGGTATGGAGGCGGAGGCGGTGGCGATAACGCTTGCTACAACTGTGGGAAGCAAGGCCATTTTGCTAGAGAATGCACTGAGCTTTCTCGATCTCAAACAACAGAATATGAGTAATCGGCTGTGATCTCTATTTCTTTTCCTCTGATTTTTTTTTGCTCCTTTTTTTCAGTTGGTTTTTGGTGGGTTATACATACATAGGATGGTTTTTGAAATAGTTCGTGTCTTGATCCACTCTTTGCAAAGAACTTTCTGGCTAGTATTCATATATAGATGGTGATTTGGTTATTGATTTTGGATTTCACTTTGATTTGAGATTATTTTACATTGATAAATCAATTGTTCATTATGTGACATGGTGGTCTTATATTACTTGAATTTGTGATGTAATGTGTGTTAAATGTTATGGATTTCTCTTGAGTTAGGTTATAACTTATGTCTACGACTTGTGGTTGGAACATTATTAATCAATTTTTCCATGTCTTTCAATTAGGCGTAGAAGAACCTTCTTCTTGGTATGACACCGTTAGGTTTTCATGCTTAAGATGATGTTGTACAAACTTAGAAACCTAATGGTAGTATAATATCACACCTAGTATAGTCAACATATTTAACAACCTGGGATTTTGACATATTGGTTGGATAACCAACTTTTTTGCCACTTAGGGTTACATTGCTATCTCACTGCCTACCCCTCCCATCCTCCATCATTGGCGCAGCTCCTCCCCCGGCCATTCATGTAATTCTCCTTTTTATCTTTGGATGGAGATTTGACTTCCTGTAGTACACAAAATTATGGCAGCGTAGGCCTGAGCAATTAAGGATTTTAAAGGCGTTGCGCAAGCTTTTTTTTTTCTGCCTCGTGTATTTCTATAAGTCACTTTTTATAGGGGTTTTCATTGCCAATACAAAGTAGTTATGGAATTACATTGCAATCGAGATACACAATTAGGCAGTGAGAGGATTTGGTATTCGTTTGGAGTTCTGAATGTGTATCAATGTAAATGGAAAAACACTATCATTTCTCATTGTTCCCAACCTAGGAGATCCCTCACCCCTCTCTCTATTTCCTTTTTTTTTTTTTTTGTTCCTTATTTATTATTAGTGGTCTTGTTTTAGTAATAGTTTACTTTTCTTGAGTAAGAGATGGATATGCAAGTCCATGTTTGAGGAAGCCAGATAGAAAGGGCTTTCCTTTAGAAGCTTTGTTTAGAGAATAGGAGTGCACTGCGAACAAGCCCTAACAAATAAAAGTCAAATGGTAGTGCTGTTGGTTTTGAATGGGTGTGATGACAGCAATGAGTGTGGTTTTGGGGGTTGTTGCTACACTAGTAGTGTAGTAGTGGCAGCTTTGCACGTGTGGTTTGGTTGTTGAGTTGAGTGCTGTGTTTTTATAGTTGCACTAGTGATGCTACAATGGTGGATTTGGTTGCATGGCTGCTATTAAGTGGTGGTGATATTTGACTTTGGTGGAGGATGCAATTGTCTTGCCGTGGTATGAACCTCCTTTGGGCTGAAACTTACAGCTTGAGAGGGCTTCTCATTATTTAATAATAAATTGATCTTGTGGGAAAGGGTTTTGTGAAATTCTTTTTGGAAATTGTTTTTAAATGATAAATCAAGGTCACGAAGCAAAGAAGAAAATCAAATTAACGTAAAGATGCTAGTGAGAGCTGCTTGCAAGTTGTAACATGGGTTTAGATACAGGTGGATTTGTCAACTAAAAGTGCTTCTTAGATATCTCGGCATGACCATGCGATTGTATAAACAGACATTACAACAAGTGTTTGTATAATTGTCTTGTGAATTTAACTACTAATGCATCATAGGGCAGGGAAAACATATATCAGAATTGAGCATTAAATATTGGTGCTTATTAAATGTGAGTAACAGTGATATATCGACCAGATAGGATTAGTAATTGTTAAGCTATGATTTTGCTCCTTACAATGAAGCTTGAATATGAACAATGGAGATTGAATTAATAAGATTTTTGAACTAGATTGAAATGCTATAGTATATTTAAATTTGGAGATTGTTATTAGTTATTTATCAAGGAAAAAAAAAAGGGACCTATAAATTTCACTGCCAGACTTACTGGCATCTGAATTTGATGTGCAAATTATAGGCGATGCTAATAAGTTCACCATATTGAAATAATAATATTTTGTACTGATAAGTTTGTGACATGTCATATTTTCAACCAATACTTGTAATTACTTTCTTCGTTTCCTTTTAAGTACAAAAAGAAATTACACAAATGAATAATCATATGGGAACACCCCTATATTCATCTATCTCACTCCACTCCAATAATTGGGCAGCCTTTAACCACAATCCCTTCCGCGGTAGGGCAAGAAGCCAATGGACAACCATCCGATTCACTTCCCCACCAGTTGAAATCAACATGCTGCATCCCCAAACACAAGTACAACAATACACCCATGAACGCTAACCCAGCATCAAGCGCACCTGATAGGACATAGTTGTGGCGACTCCACCACTTCCGGTAGTACCTATAAGCAATAAAGCCAGAGATAAAACCGATAAGAACCCAGCTGGTGTAGTTGACAGCAGTGGCCGGAGGCATTTCAATCGTTGCACTTAAGAGCACAGGCATTATAATAAGTTTTATCCAATGCTGGTTCGGGAAGGCCTTGTGTGCAAGCCAAACCAGGAGAGGTGCGAGAGCCCCAATTAGGAAAGACCAGTTGATAGCAGAGTAGTAGCCAAGATCTCCAAAAATTCTGCGCGGCCCGATCAGGCCATAGATGACAGAAGCATCATAGAACACATGGTCACTGGGGCAGGTCCAGGGGCTGCTGGCAGGCAGCAAGGCCCTGTCGCATATGTTTGGGATGGTGTCCATGAGCCACCATGCTGTTCCTAAATGCACCAATGCTGATATTAGAGTACCAACTACCTGATCAGAACATCCATCATAGCAGGAGTAAGCACTGACCTCTATATTAGGTATTAGATCAATTAGAAATTCAGTAACGAAAAATTAGATAGAATTGTTCTCTTTTAGTTCTGTGAAGGGAAAAGAACAGAAAAGAACAAACCTGGGCCATGAACATTGCTCTTGGAGGAATTTTCATGTAATGACCGAGTTTCAAGTCTTGCAGAAAGGCGAGCCCCTGCTTCATACTAATGTACCCGTACACCTTAAAGCACATGTTAGCAACTGGATATCCTGGATAAATATACCCAATGATGTACTCTGTGATCACATTTAAGCCGGGAGTCTATTTTTACAAAAGAGAGGTTGGATTTAGAATTACAGTAATTAATTCAATAAGTATTTGTAAATAATAGTAAACATCATAGGTCTATTTTAATCAACTTCATATAAACTAAAGTGATTATAGACGCTAGCTCCTTCGAATACTTCAGCAATTCCATTGATCCGTCAGTAGTTAGTGGAGCATATTAAGATATGTCTAGTGTACTCGGCTGATTTTGCAGTATCAGTAGCAGAGAAAGAGCATAGAATCATACCTTATTTGTCGTGGCTGTTATGACTCCAATAGGCAGTGTGAAAAAGAAAGCAAGGCTGCATGCTAGCAAGACACCCCACCATGGTAGCTGAAGTTGATCGTTGTAGAACTCGCATGTAAATACAATTGCTGCAATAGTCACCAAAAAGATACACGTGAACCACCATTCAGGAACTTGCTTGTATTTTCTCATGAGCTTTGTGTGGACATCCATCTTCTTCTCTTGCAAACCAGACTCCCTCAGCTGCAATAAATCTCTACACCCTTGGAAAAGTGAGTACAACTTACAGTGGAGTTAGATCTAGTAGTAGTATAGCCATTAGATACATTATAGTAAACACTAAAATTGAGAATCTGATATGGCAAAGTACAAGGAGCTAGACCAGCCTAAGAATTCCGGCTCACCTTCCGTGGAAAACGAAGACGTGAACAATAGTTGCAGTCAGGCAGGCGAAACTGACAGCAAACGTCATGGCAAATAAGGTGCTGAGATAGAGACGGCCCTCACGCTCATAGGCCTCTAAATCAATGTGGAAGTTTTGGTCCACAATTGCTGAGATATTGTACTTTTGGCCACTGGAGGTGAAGAGGCCATCTGAAAATATGGGAAAGGTCCCGGCCTTGTAGATATTGAGCCAATAGGCAATTGGCGTGATGACATACATCATAAGGGCGAATCCGAGAGCAACGTTGACAGTGGCGAACCACGGGCTGGCAAGGGGGCTCCCGAGGTAAGAGGATATGCTCGACCAATCGAGTCCGATTGCACCAATCCCAAGACCATGGAGTCCTGAACCTAGCTGTTGAACCAGGATGGAAGCGGGGAATATCCAACATAACCAGGAAAGGGAGGTCAGTTTGGGGAAGAGGTAACCTGGAAAGACATAGTATGCAAAGCTACAAATGAAGGTGATGAGGAAGAACTGGTTTCGTGTTAATCCACCTTTAGGCCTCTTCTCTCTTTCATGTAATGTCCTGCCATTTTCGACCGGAGGAGATTAATACAGTAACTACAGAAAAATCACAAATACAAGAGTATAGGAAGAAAAACATCTAGTGCAAAGCATGAGTTTCACTTGCATCAACAATAATCCTCAAGCGTTCATTAGTTAAGACTATCTGGTCATAAAGTGCAAAGCATGTCCTAAATCCAAACACACCATTCATATCGTTTAGGCTAACCATGCTTTATGGTTTTAAATCTGGCACCAAATCAATGCATTCATATTTCATCACAAAACGAGGCAGCACAAAATGTGACATGATTCAAGTTGTAGACTTGCAATGTCTTTCCAGAATGCTTGGTGTACTGGATTCAGGGAAATAATGATCCATCTGGTATAAGGAAAGAGGGAAGGAAAAGGAAATGAAAGCAGAATGTCTTCTGTTATTCGTTTGGACAAGGAAAGCAGAATGGAAAAGGAATAGAGTAGGGAAGGTCCATCCCTCCTACCCACCAGAAATGAAAGGAAATTAGTAAACCCCCACATTTTCACTCTTCAAACAATGTATTCATTTTTCCTTTTTTGCTCTATTCCTTCCTAACACCCTTTCTACTCGATCAAAAATAAAAATAAAACCTTTTACTCTTTTATAAAACAAAAAGAATGCAAGGTGATAAATTATTGGTTCACTATCGTTTTACCAACTCATTGGTACAACTAATTAATACAAATACTCCACTAAAGTAAAAGTTAGATGATCTTACAATAACTTGGTAAATTATGATGATTCGATGAATCCAACTATTTTAGTTTAGTGGAGCTGATTTGGTACAAACGTTGTAACTAATCATTTTTGACAACCTTTAGGTGTGAATTGATGCCTTGAGAGCAAATAAACAACAATAATCTA